TTCTGATATGAGACTTATTAATTAAAAAGATAACTTTAATGGTCACCAATATATAGTATATAAAAAAGAAGTTTGTGTTTCTAGAAATGAAAGATTGAAAGACCTGAACAAGCTAATTAAGACCTTCATGATAACTCGAGTTGCAGGCACGTGAGTTTGATCAGGGATCTGGAGAGAGCTGAGAAGCGCAGTTACAGATGCAGGTGTGTGTTGTACCTGTTGTGAGTCATGTGACTCTTGACGAGGTGTCCGGCGGCGAGAGCGGCCATCAGAGAGAGCTCTCCTGCCAGCACTGTGGCACAGACGATCCGCGCCAGCGTCCGCGAGTTCTCACCGGGACACTGATCACTGGAGCCGTGAACACCCAACATCTGATCAACACAGCACAGGGTTTAGCTCATCTACAGCCCTCGTGTTGTTCGAGTGTGTGTGTGTGTGTGTGTGTGTGTCAGGGATGGGAAGATTCCCCAATTCGCTCGGTGCATCAGCATAAAAAGTTAACGATGCGATGCATCGATTTAAAAAGTGTGCATCGGCTGCAAGTTATCATTTATATCGCGATGCATCGTTTCTAACATATTTGCATCTGTAAAAAATTGTTTATTAATATATAATTACTAGTGGATGCGCTATACTTTTATTGTTTAGAAAGTGATCAATAATCTGTGTGCAATATTTTATATGTAGATTGATTTCTTCTCTCTAAACTGTTTCTCAAGCGCGCTCTCTCTCAACTGCTGCTGCGTGATTGTGACGCATCACAACACCACGGAGACCGAGGAAAAACTGGGACTGAAGTCCAAAACCTAACAAATCAATCGGGGCTAAAGCGGTTCCATAATTAAGTTCACACAATCTCACTAATTTGTGCACACTTATTCTTAAGCAGCCCTTAAATGTCGATCATGGATCAAATCAATCCACCATTGCAAACAGCGAATATATCTGTGCTGTTTAATGCATTTGAGACGTTGTGTTTTCCTCAGTGCATAATTGACATGTCACAGTTATATTCTTCATCTGTAAATGTCAGAAAGTCACGCAAACATATCCATTTTGCTGTCAGGAGTGGGTGAGGCTTACACGAGTGAACGAGCGCTGCTGCACGCATGCGCACTAAACAGACTGAGCGCAATCGAATAGAGCGCAATAATTCGAGTAAAATATACATTTTGCTAAAATATTTGTTGTTGGACATTAAATGTGTCTTTTGTAGAATTTTAAACCTACATATAAGTGTATTTTTATGATAGCAGTAACTGTAAAGGGACTATTAATTTTAGATTGTAATGTTCTAATGTTCTGCAAACTATAAACGGTACAGCTGTCATAAAACCTGAGAGAAAGGCTGCAAAAAAATAAAAAAATAAAAATAGTCAAATAATAGTATGTGTAAGAGTGGTAATATCATTGGGTTCCTATTGGTCAGTGTTAGAGGAACTCAGCTTAGTCTGACAGTTAGCCTGCTTTAGACCAGGTTAGTTTCCCAGCATAAGTTGCCACAGTGACTAAGCTATCGGTAGCTGCTTCATATGTATCTTTAATGTATCGTATCGTTGGCTTTGTATCGAGATGTGTATCGTATCTGCCTGAGTCATGAGATGCACATCCCTAGTGTGTGTTTGTGTGTGTTCGAGCCTGTGTGTGTGTTGTGTGTGTGTGTTACCTGTAAACAGGCGTGTTGAGCAGGCAGACCGGTTCCTCCTCCCACAGTTCCCAGCTCTAATGACGGCATTGTGCAGGACACGCACAGATCCTCTCCATCCGTCCCGACACACTCCATCAGAGTAATACAGTTACTGCTGCCCACCGTCTGCGCCGGATCCTACACACAAACAGGACAAATGTAGAATAGTATTTATTATATATTTTATATAATATATAAAAATATTAATTTATATATAAATAATATTCATATAAAATATATTTATAAATGTATATATTATAACCTGTAAAAACAATACCAACTCAGAGGATGAGAATCTCATGTAATACAAAACGTAATGCAACGTTTTTGTGTTTTTTTTTTGCGTTTTTGTCATTTTTATAATTTTTTTCAAAATATGTTGATATAGTTTTTAATTTTTATTTATATAGTTATTTTAGTAAGGTAAACTAAATGAAAATGAAAAATGTTGCCTTGCCAACTAGCTGAAATAATTCAAATAATAAAATTAAATACAATTTATTATACTTATTAATATTTATTTCAAGTAATGAAAACGTTTTTTAATGGTTTTAGTTAACTATAATAACCCTGATTTAATTACATACACATAATATATTTATAATATATATAATTATTATTAATGTATTTATTTAAAATGTTTGTGTGTGTGTACATATATATATATATATATATATATATACAGTATATATGCAGTGAGTGATGAGTCATGCACAATATGATCAGTAATATGTATGTTAATAAAGCAGAGTTCAGATGTCATGTTGACGGCTGCAGGTCACACACACACACACACACCTGTCCGCAGGCGATATAAATGGCCGTTACGATGTTTGCCGCATGAGCGTTGAATCCTCCGATGCTTCCAGCCATCGCTGAACCGACCAGATTCTTACTGATGTTCAGCTCCACCAGAGCCGCTGTGCTGCTCTTCAACACCTGCAAACACAATCACACAAGAGCGGTGCATTCAATCTAAATTCAGTTGGAATTCCACGCGTATTTCATGCACTGAACAGATTCAGGAGATTATACTAGAGGCACTTGAGAGGATTTGGCTCTCTGACGCCCCCTAAAGGAAGAACAACTATCTTTCCTCTAGCAAACTGAGATCTTAAACCAGTCTGACCTCTTGGACGACTCGTGCCGGTATGACGGCTTCACACACGGTGGACTTTCCTCTGCCGTGGATCCAGTTGACAGCGGCGGGTTTTTTATCAGTGCAGTAGTTCCCGCTGACGGCTAGCAGACGCATGTCAGGATAACGCTCCTGAAGTCTGCTGAGAGCCTGTTCTGTTCCCTACAGACAAACACAACCACCGTTACTCTAAACCTTCATGTCACACATGCATCAACCATATGAAAGGACTCAAAATATATATAATTGAACAATTATGAAATAATTATAATAATTGAAATTGAATTTAATATTTGTATTATTATTATTATTATCATCTTGTTTCAATATAATACTGGAACAATAAAATAAACAATTGAATAATTTGTATACTTATTAGAAAAAATAATGTGTAATACTGTCAATAAAAATATATATTTTAATATAGATAATAAATATATTTATACTATAAATTGAATAATACTTATACTATATATAAACAAACTAATAATATTTGTATTGATTATTATAATCTTGTTTTAATATGAGACTGATTGCTAAATAAAAAAAAAGGAAATGTACATGAATCATATATCATGCACTCGAACTGAAAAATTATAGTAGAATATAAAAGTTCATTAAAAGCGGTTATTCGATTGTGTTTATAGAAGTTTCATTATTATTGTGTCATGCCCACATATTGGTAAAGGTGTGTATTTGAATATAGTAATGCATTTAAAGCAGAGCAGGAACATCTACTGAAGTCAGTACTGGAGTAAAGGGTTCAGGCATGAAGGTCAGACGCTCTGTGACCCATAAATCTGCTGTAATATGAGAGGCATTCGAGCTCTGGTTCATCACACACACCTTTGACAGCATGTTCATGCCCATGGCGTCTCCGGTCTGAGACTGGAAGCGGATGTACAGGTTCCTCCCGGCCAAACTGACCTGCAGCCGGTCCAGACGAGCAAACCTGAAACACACACACACACACACACACACACACCGTTATTTCAGAGCTGAAGTTAACCTGAGCACTGGAATCTATCCCACAGCAGTGCTATATAGGGTTTATTCTGTAGGTAACCTTTGCCCTCTGACCTGCTGGTGTGATCGAAGGCCTGTTTGACAGCACTGAACCCCTCTGGACTCTCCAGCCAGCCCTTGACCTCGGCCGCCCGACACGCCGACGGCATCTGAACCACCGGCCCTCGAGTCATTCCATCCGCCAGAACACGACTGCTCACGCCACCCGACAACTACAGACACCAGAGAAACCACGAAACAGACAGAATAAATGAGCATAAGCAAAAAAGAATAATCAAAGACAGAGAGAAAAGAGGAAAGACAATGAACAAATGAAAGGAAAAATACAATGAAGGAAAGAATGGAAGAACAATTTAATAAACAACAAACAAAAATAAATAATTATCAAACGAACAAATAAAATAGAAATCAAAACAAAAAAAGAACTAAAGAATGATTAAATCAAATGAAGGAAGGAACAAATAAAAAATAGCAGAAATAATGAACATAAAATGAAACAAAATGCGCAAAAGAAATAAGAGGAAAACAATGAAAGAATAAATTAACAAATGGAGGAAAAGAAACCACTGGAAGAATAAAAAAAACTAAATGATATATATCATTAAAATGAATAATGAATGATCAAATGAACAAATTAATAAACAACAGAAATAAAAACAAAGAAAAAAGAACAAAATGAATAAATCAACAAAAGGAAAGAACAAGTGAGTAAATGACAGGAAAAAAACAAGATCAAAGAACAAGTGAAAGAAAGAAACATGAAAAATAAACATGCAAAAGAATCAACAAAAGAGAAAATACACCAAGCAATAAATGAACAAATGGATGCAAAGAAAAACAAAAGAACAAATAGAACAAATCTAAAAAATCAGAAACCACAACGAAGAATGAATGATCAAATGAACAAACTAATAAACAAATCAAAACAATGACTGAATGAACAAAAGAATAAATCAAAAGCAACAATCTAGTGAAGCAATGACAGAAAATGAAGCAGAAAGAATTATATAGGTCTTTCATTTATTATTATTCTTTCTTTCGCTGCTGTATTTATAAAATGACAGCCACATGACTCACTGTGACGGCTCTGCATCCTCGGTTAGTGCTGGCCACTAAACAGCCTTCTGTCGTCGCCATGGGGACGTGGAACTCTTTCCCGTCCAATAGGAGCGGCCCGGCCACGCCCACTGGCACAGGTACATAGCCAATCACATTCTCACAGTTGGTGCCAAGCACCTGAGAACAACGAAAAGACATTTAAATACCCATCACACACGTGCCCCTGGATCTCCAGCGCAGCCGATCGTGAGCAGCACCTGAGAGTAGTCGTAGTGTCTGTAGGGCAGGTTCTCCAGCGCAGACGCCGCCGGCAGTTTGCTGGACAGTATTTCTCTGCGTATAGCCACTCCTCTCTCAGGACTCTCCATCACTGCTTCCAAACGGTATCCCAGAATGCCCCTGCACTCCACCAATGCCATCACCTCCGCGTTAGTCAGGCAACGAGCTCCTCTCTGAAAGAAGAGAAAGAGATCATGTAAATCACATGAAGTTTGGTTAATTACTGATTAATAAAGTCAGGGTCTTTAAGAATCACAAGACACTCGTCAAAGGGAAGGAAAGAAAGAAAGAAAGAAAGAAAGAAAGAAAGAAAGAGCATGAAAAAGAATGTGCAAATGAAAATACAAAAAATTAATAAATCATTAAAAGGAGAAAAGATGAAAAACAATAAATGAACAAATGGAAGGAAATAAACAACTAAAAAAATAACAAATTGAAGAACAGCTGACACCAAAAAAAAAAAGAACGAACAAACAAAAGAAGTAAAGAATAGGTGAAAAAAAAAAAGTAGTGAACAAGATAAAAAAAACAAGAAAGAAAGAAAAACAAAGAATGAATGTGCAAAACAAAATGATTAACAAATCAATAAAAGAGAGAAAAGATGAAAAACAATAAACAAATGGAATGAAAGAAACAAGCGACGAAAGAAAAAAAATAAATGGAAGAACAAACATGAGAAACCAAAACAATTAATAAATGATCAAATGAACAGAAATCAAAACAAAATATGGAGAAAAAAAAACAGGTGAACAAATTACAGAAAAAAAAGTTGAAATAATGAACAAAGGTTTAAAAAATAAACAAAGAGAAGAGAGAGTTGACAAAGCAGATGAAGAGTTAGGATCAGTTAGCATGCGTGTGACAGTGACTGATGAATTACTCGGGGGTCTTTAAGAATCATCAGACATTCGTCCACAGGGCGGCGCTGGTGAGACTGGAGCTCATCTGTTTGGTGTCCATCTGACGGATCAGGCGGCTCTCCTTCACTTTTATTCATAGGGACCCCCATCAGGGCTTTGGGTGGGGCCGACTCCCTCTGACAGCGCTCATCTCCTCTCCTATTGGTCAGGGAGCAGCTGGGCGTGGCCACAGGAGATTTGATTGACAGGGAGGATTCCGTTTCGGCCTGTTCGAAAAACACGTACTTGGCCGCCAATAACAGAGCGAGAGAGAGTGTGATGACCTGCTCCAGATCCACACTGAGAGAAAGAAGAGATTATTACAAAAATGTGTGAATGAATGAGAAATCATCTGTGTGTTTCTCAGCTCGTACCTGGACAAGGTTCTGTCGGACTCCATGTTTGGTGCGGGCAGAACCACGTCTGAACCGCTCATGTTGTGCGTCTGAGATTCGGTCACGAATCGACTGTGAGCGTGAACCAGCGCCAGACCCAAAGACTGAAGCAAACGCAAACCAGAACAGTTAAAAAGACATCAGTAAGCCTACATTTATTTGATTTAAAATATAGTAAAACTGTCATATTGTGAAATATTTTTTACATTTAAAATAACAGTTTTCTATGTGAATCTCTGTTAAAATGTCATTTATTCCTCTGATGCAGCGCTGTATTTTCAGCATCATTACTCCAGTCTTCAGTGTCACATGATCTTCAGAAATCATTCTAATATGCTGATTTGCTGCTCAAGAAACATTTCTGATTATCATCAATGTTGAAAACAGTTGTGCTGCACAATATTTTTGTGGAAACGGTGATACATTTTATTTCTCAGGATTCACAGATGAACAGAAAGTTCAAAAGAACAGAATTTATTTGAAACATTAATGTCTTTACTGTCACTTTTGATTAATTTAATGCATACTTGATAAATAAAAGCATTAATTAAAAAACATACTGTTTAAACAGTAATGCGTGACATGATTGTAAACTGATGTTTCCTAAACTCACCATGATCATTTTGACTTTCTGAGTGACGGGGTTTGGTTTGTTTCCCTCCTCTTCCTCCAGAACACGAGCGAAATGGCTGAGCTGCCAGATGGGCCGACCCTCACGACTCTCACGGGACAGCTGGACGAGTGACTGGGGTCAGTGTTCATTCACATCTGGGTTTATATGTTATACAGAACATCTCAAAAACCAACACACTGACCTCTAACACCAGCGACACACAGGCGGGGAAGAAGGTCATGAACGCAAAGTAATTGGCCAGAACCGACATGCAGCCGAAACCGCACATGATCTCCAGCTGACGCACACCTGCAATAATAACAGGAAGTTATTATGATGAGAGCTGGATAAATTGGATGTTTAAAGCAAGATTTGGATCACACAACTTCTCCATACCTCACAAAAATCTCCCTTTTATGCAGACTATGGTAACCCTCCTTATATTTGTCAAGGAAATAAATAAAGAGAGAAAGCAAGAGAGAATGAGAGACACTTCTGTAGCTTACCAGACACGGTGCCCACACCGATGACCAGACACTCCACCACTGTGTCCAGGGTGAACGTGGGCCCCAGGATGGCCATGCCTTGAGCGATATTCTCTCTGACCTCCTCCTGTGGGTCACATGACCCGTCATTATTTGCATTTATTTTACAACCAGTGTTATTTTAGTATCAGGAAACTGTTATTTTGAATTCCTTTTTATTTGTACATTCCCATTTTCATTTTAAAATAATTTTTTGTTTTTGTCATTTTTATTATTTTTTTTTTTTTAAATATGTCCATAAATAAAAAAATAACTATTTGAGTTGTAGTTATTTGAGTACATCAAGTTAAACTAAAGTTAAGATTTTTTTTTTATATATATTTGATTTCATGCAATAAAAGTTTTAGTTTTAGAAAACAACACTGATAACAAGACAGTAACAAAGAGCAATATCGACTTGGATATATTTATTTTTTTTTATGTATTTTTTGTTCATTTTGTATAATGTTCACTTCAGTCATGATGCAAACAAACCAATGATTTGCATGATAAATATTGAAACTATTTATTTAAATGGACCACTTTTCATTTAAGTAATCACTAATTCATAGAAATAATTTAAATTGACTAAAATTACCATTTTTTATTAAAAAATAAATACATTTTAAACTGTAAACACTCAGCAAGGATTGTGGGACTCGTCTACATGCTCAAATAAAAGTACATGAAAAACAAAATGCAACATTTATGATTCTGTTTAATTTTATATAACCAGCAAAATCATATTTTTGTACCTGTGAGTTTGAGCTGAGAGCAAACTTGGCCAGTGTGCAGGCTTTAGACAGATCGATCAGCAACAGGAAGAACGGCAGCGCCTCACTGCAGGAACATGAGGAGACAGTTCAGAGACAAACTCAAGACACAGAGGACATGCTGAATATGAGATTCATACTTCAGTCCTGTGAGCTCTTTGCCCAGAAAGTGAACGACCACAGTGCTGAACACAAAGCTGGAGAAGATGGTGAACAGACCAGCGATACCTGGACACAAAACACACGCAAAACACAATAAATACTTTTTATAATATGAACGGTTAAGATGAGAGGCTAAATTGTACATTTAAATTTAACAAGACATCAAAATTAATTTTCCTTATCCTTAACTGTGAACAATTCATCAATGCATTTTTTATTCTAAAGAAAAATATGTTGTTCTTCATAATATTTCATGAAGTCATATATTTTTCAACCATTTGTCGTATAAAAACTCATTTCACCATTTAATCAAGTTCTCAAATTTCAATCGTCTTAAAACTTTTTTCCTCTTTAAATATCCCGTTTCACTCAGAAATGTCACATTACAAAAGTAAATACGTTTCAGAGAAAGACACTCACCCAGTATGTATTTGGAGCCGAGCTGACGGAGGTTCCTGAACTGGATGTAGATGTAAATGATGGCGACGCATCTCGTAACGGTTAAAATGATTACGTCGCCGCTTAGAATTTTCTAAAAATGTGCAACAAAAATATTTGCATGTTAAAATCCGTTCTCATGTAATGTAACTTGTATGTTATGCTTCTGTAAAGATCATAATTCACAACCGTACAGTTTACAGCAAACATCGCAACCCATACCCTGAGCTAGACCTCGGTAGGTCATAAAACAGTTCAAACGGGAACCAAGCCATAAACCTTGTGTGTAAAGCAAAGAGGAACAAATAGAGACGTACAAGACCAATTTCTGAATGGAGAGTGGAAAAGATCTATACAATATGACCAATATGGCTGAATTTGACCCCCGTACCTCCTGCACTTTGGGACACCGATGGTTCCAGGCGCAGATCTGGTCATTGGTAGCGAAAGCGTTCATGGACATCAGACACATCGTCACGGCAACCGTTCCCACGATCACCTCCCACGGATGAGAGGCGACCAACAGGCCGTGGAGCCTGAAGAGACGGGACAGCATCATCAGGGGATTCAGCGGGTCACCTGTTAACCGAAAATGCACACATATATGTCATGAGTGGACAGGAAGCAGATATGTCTTTAGTGATATTAGGTATTATTATTTAGACAATATTAATATTGTTTGAATGTAATTTGAAGCTTTGTTTGAATAATTTGAATAACTGTGTTAAATAAAGATTACTACCTAACTAAATTATTTTTTTAAAACTACATAAACTGAGCAAACATGCTTACCACAAAAAACAGCACCTTTGTTATAAGCAGTAAACGGCTTCCATTCAGAGACTCAACTTGTTAACTAATATCAAACAACCCGAATGAAAAGATTTCTTTTCAACAATGTTAAAAATAAAAACATGTTGCTTGGTCAAACGAAAACTTTTTTTTCCCCTAAAAATGAGTTACTCGGTCTAAAATCAGATGTGAAACAACATAACAGCATTTAAATTGACATAATTTTCAATTTGGGGGGCGAACTACTTTAAGGTGACACCCAGCCACTGCTCACTAGCAATAGCATGATCGCATTTATCTGTGGAATATTAGAGTTTAGAGTATGGTAATTAACTCCACATTTCAAAATTCAATAATTGTAACTTTGAAACAGAAATTAAATAAGATGGTAGAAGTCATAACACTGTCGGCAATACGTTCGTAGAACATGCTAAGCCACTTTAGCATAAGCTAAAGAAGTCTCAGCTGTCTATTGCTGTCTATCCACCTTCAAAACCAAACGCCCCAAAGTACAATACATATTTAATTTTCTTGATTAACAAAAGAGATTTTTCATTATTGTTCAGTTTGTCTTGTTAATGTTGCCATATACCTTCATTAGTTCTCCTCAGACCGTTGTCGTCCTGACTGACGTAATCCGCCCTCAACCGGCGCGCGCACAAATCGCACATATATTGATGGACAGCAATAACCGAAAGTGTGTTCGTTTAACTAATAATTATTTAAAATTATTATATTACAAAGCTTGTTCTCGTTAGATATGTAGCACCAAGTTTATCACACAAAAAGAAAAAGAAAAAAAACTGAGACAAAAGGAAAACGTCACTGAAACTATGAGGCATAGATGTGTATATACGTAGAAACCTCATTAGCGACTGTTTCTATGGGCTACGTAAACCGTCCGACATATTAGGAAGGGTCAACTTGGAAGTCATTCACCATAATAATCAATGAATATTCGAAGATGCCAAAATCCTTACATATCTATGGTTCCGCCCTTCTCTTGCATTCTCACCACCACCTGTGAAAGGTTATCCCGTTTCATAGGGAATTTAAATCCCGACGGTTTTTACAAGCATCGGCTATGCAGGATTGTGGCATCCTCGAATATTCATTGATTATTATGGTGAATCGCGTCAAGTTGACCGTTGAGAGATGGCGGACGCGTCTACGTGCTTGGAGTTGTCGAATGAGGCATCTATCTATGCAGCTCTATGCTCTGAGGTAGTAGAGCGTTTGTCCGCTTTCACTTTCGAAACGAGAGTATTTACAAAAGTTTGTTTAAAATACGTTGGTTTTGAGTGATGTGTCCTTAATAACTGGTCATTTTTGTTGTTTCATTTCACATTTTGTTCATTCTCTGCAGTATGGCGAAACGCAAAAGCAAAGGCCAGTAACAACTTAATCAACACTCACTTTGTAGACGGTGGATTCATCATTTCCTTTGCTTTTGACAAAGCTTCTGGTATTAATTAACAAAACTGACATATTTTTGTGTTTTACAGCACATGGTGGAGTTACTGAAATGGGTAAGTTCAAATCTTTTAGGTTAATCATGGATGTAAATAGCACAGATAACTTAGAGAACTACTTGAGTTCAAAAATTGGTACTGGGTTAAAAATTACTCAATTCAAAGTTAAAATCGAGTTAAAGCATACTTTTTGCATGTAATTGTACTTCTATGATTTGAAAGTAAGCTTTCTTATATTTAGAAATTGACTGGTGGAATCAAGATTCAGTGGAGTTTTTCATATTACACTTTTTAATTAAAAATTTTAACTTTTTCAATATAATGAAATACAGTTACTTACTCCACACTCCATTCAAGTCAGATTAAAACTTCAGGCATAAGCATAGTCAGATTGTGAATTTTTAATCATGTACATGCCACTTTATATGACCATATCATTATGTCATTTTAATTTAGTTTGGCCTTACTCTTGTTTTCTTGCTCTTCTTACAGAGGAAATGTTACTGATATCTCCAAAAGGTAAAATAAATGTTAAGTATGCTAAAAGCAAAAAATAAAAGTTTTCAGTTTAGCTTGTAAATTTACATTTTTAGCTTACATTTTTAAATGCTCCACTGTGCTTAAGAAGCTCAGAAATAAGAATATAAACACTTTTGTGCTGAAGTAAATAAAAGTGTTGTGCTAGTGGGAATGAATGGGTAAAATCACTACTGTTCAGAGTTCTAGTGTGTAATATTCCTTTGATTTGTACTTCTATAAAATGCTAGATATTTTTTGTTCTCAAAGGCACGCCTGAATTAGGTGAAATAATAACATAACACTATATACTGATGTTGATGGGTTTGTAGCTTTAATTGTTTATGCATTTTTTATAACTAAATACTTTGGTGAAAATAAGTTCAAAAGAGTGGCTTTGGGTGATTTGATCTTAAAACTACATTTCTTCCTCCACAAGACACATGATAAATCATTGAACATTATATCTTTCCATAGATTCGTAAATCATTCCTCTCATAATTCATTATCATATAGTAGGAAATAATCATTCCTACTACTTGTTTCACTTCTGTTTCAGTTTTTTATAACCATTTCTTACTATGTGTCAGTAAGTTGTGTGTGTGTGTGTGTGTGTGTGTATATATTATTTATAGAGTTTTAGTTTTAATTACTTCTTCTTATTTGTAAGTCGCTTTGGATAAAAGCGTCTGCTAAATGACTAAAAGTAAAGTAAAAGTAATACTATCATTGAACTTTTTCTGTTATGATTCAAAAACTGTTCAAAATGTATGAAAAATTTAACCGTAAGCCAAATTAACTAATCTGAAACCGTTAGTTTAATACAAGCCTGCTATGATTTCATCAAACGAACTGTTTTTATTTCTAATAAAATTCTAGTTCCCTAGAATCACATGTTTGAATCATCCTTAGCAATTATATTTCAAACCCTTGTCAACATAAATGTCTTAACTACAAACATCATTCACAGGAGATGATGTCGACACAGACTTTGACCATACACTTGCAGCGGGGCCATCAAGAGTGAGGAATCAATGTATGTATTTATTTCTTTGCTAAATTATTTATTTGCTTTGATAAACAATAATTTGCAGTATTACCCCAAAAAAAACAAGCACATTTGGGCTCCATGAATTCAAGGGCCCTAATCATATGTAATTTTAATTCAACTTTCAGTTTAGTTTAACATAGCTGACATTTAGGCCTATGCTTGCATTACATCACCTATGACCTTGCTGTTGCTTGAGCCATAGGGGAGCGCGGGGCACAGAGTAACGCGGGGTTAGTTGTAACACACGTGGTTTGAATATTTCCACACATGCTAGCATAACAAAATTTACAGTATTTATTAGTTACCATATCATCGTTTTCTAGAAAAAAAGTGCACCAAAATTCAAAAATCTTTTGAAGATATCGCTGAAAATTCTGGCTTAAGTAATTTTTTCATCTCAGTTTTTATTATTCATTTAAAATGAGACAAATCTGCTATTATTTTAATCTCCAATCTGTTATTTATCAGTTCAGATCGTTTTTTAATGCTTTGATAACTAGCAGAAGACACTAACCAGTTTTAAACTCCAGTTGCGCAGATGGGGCACGTTGTAACACTGCGTTACAATGTGCTATTCTATGACATTAGCGATGTAATTTACACTATTTATTTTAATTAATTTTAATGAGAAACAACGAGAAACAGGTTAATAAAGACTGACAGTCAATGTTTAATGTTTAGAAATGATTATTTCAAGACATGTAAAGCATTTTTGCTTGTTTATGTGGGCCATCCAAAGCATGGTTGCAATGTGTTCATTATCAAACTCAGCCAAAATCAGATTATTTTTAATTCTTAAAAAATGCCATTATTTTATTTGAAAAAAATTATTATTTTAGCTTATTAACAAAATATTTTAGTTTGTCTTGTATATTTTTTTCATGAGATCAGATAACATTTTAAGCTGTCATATGGTCATGTTACAACGCGCCCCTCAGATGTTACAATGTACCCCATCTACGGGGCATGTTGTCACATTTCACTTCCATTTTTTGAGGGTAAATAAAGAAAAATGTATACACTGTAATTATGAAACAAAGCGACATATTTGTACTAAACAAGTGTAAAATTACTGGGGATAAAAAAAAATCATATTCTGAACCCATGTGGATTTACACAAACTGACTGAGAAAGTCAAAAAGTGTTACTTTGTGCCCTGCTCTCCCCTACTCTACAGAACTGCACAAAGTAAACATTTAATCTATACTTAAAAATGTTGAAACAATATTTTTGATACACATACAGTACTGTAAGTGGGACAGATATAATAGGTACAGACTGAGCAAACACAATGTAAGACATAAACCATTGGCAGTTTGCAGTGGATTTCTTTGGTGAAGGTATGCGGTCAAATTGAAATGTAAAACCTTTTTAAAACAGCATTTAGCCTAATTTGTTTTTCTGTCCAAGTCAATTCTCAAATATGCACTTTGCACTGTAAGAAAAAAATCTATATAGAAACAGAAAAGTTGCTGGTAATTTTTGCTAGGATATAAAAGTATCATTAAACTATGGACATTTCCTTTAACCCTAAAACATAACACAGTGCAATGCACAATTCAAAATGTAGATAAAATAGAACATTCCTTTATATTAACACAGTACATTGGACCCTATTTTTACAGACTTTTCTCAGTGTGTGGAGCCATATAAAACACAATTTTATTAAGGATTTGAATCTATTATTTTATTTAAAGAAAGTCAATGTATTTAAAGGGATAGTTCACCTAATAATGGTAATTCTCTCATTTACTCACCCTCGTGCCATCCCAAGTGTATGACTTTCTTTCTTCAAATGTGCACAAAGAAAGATATTTTAGAAAAGATTACATCTCCATGAGTCCATATAAAAATAAATCTATATATAAAAAAATACACAATAGACAAAAAGACAATGGACGAGGGGTCACGTGAATTCGCCGATGATAGCTGCTTACTTCGTTAGTTCCACGCCAGTTCCCTTTATTTTAAAATTTCTTTTTTTTTGTCTTGATTCATACTCAAAGTATGTCCGAGACTAAAGAAATGCAGGATTTTCCCGACGATCTTCTCGGCTTCCCAGAAATGTAAAGAAAAAATACAGTGAGACGGAGGAGACCTCGTCATACCAGGCGAAAATCATGCTGACCGAAATCCTCTTGCTGGGAACGGGTTGGGCAATATTGATGGCAGATTAAGTGTGATTTACAACCGTTTGGACAATATTTAACTTCAGTACAGGAAGCCCTTTCTAATTTGCTTGGCAAAATGGCGTCAAATGAGATGCGTTTAACTGAGGCTGAATGAAGAATCTCTGCTGTCTTACAATAGCAGAATTGCATCTTTGGATAAAGAATTGGCATTAATTAGAGCCAAAGTAGATGACCTGGAAAATCAAGGCAGACACTAAACCCCTGAGAATTGACAGGCTCTCTGAGAAAGCTGAAGGTTTTGAGCCCATCGCACAATTTCTTATGAAGATGCTGCCGAAATGGCTGGACCTTACACCTGACTCATATTTTGAGATCGAGAGAACCCATAGGTCTCTCTGCACCGTCCCGGGAGCAAACCTCTCCCGTGAAGTTTTCTGGTCCGCTTCCTGCGATACACGGATAAGGAGTCAATACTACAGGCAGCATGGACAAAATGCAGCGTCAGTTATGACGGGAATCAGCTGCCCTATACTTATATTTATATTCTAATCCTGACTGCTCTTATTCTAGAATAGATTATATCCTGATTCCTACTCGCTGCCTTCACGCTGTTTCTTTCTGCCAAATTGGATCAATTGTTTTGTCCAACCATGCACAGGACCACCAAAATCTGAAGATTCAACTCTTCCATGCCTGGAATCAGTCATTTTGTGAATCAGTACAGGAATGGTTTAAGAATTATTACAGATAATGAAAATTCACCTGTATCACCTGCAACCCTCCGGGATGCTGCTTAAGATACAATTCGGGGACATATATCCTGCACACAAAAAGGCTTGGTCAAATAAAAGACAGGAGTTAGAACAAGAAGTAAAAAGACTGGAGTTTTTACATAGCAGCCCCTAATCCAGGGGTGGCCAATATTGGTCTTGGAGCCACAGTCCTGCAGAGTTTTGCTCCAACCTTGATAAAAGTTCACCTGCCTGTAGCTTTCTAGTAACCCATAGATCTTGATTAGCTTGTTCAGGTGTGTTTGAGTAGGGTTGGAACTGAAATCTGCAGCACTGCGGCTCTCCAGGTCCCACGTATGTTGAGTCAGAGCTGATCTTAATTTGGATAGCATGAGTCACATCAAAAACCTGGATATTTTTAGATTAGCCTTTGTCACCAGAAGTTTTTAGCGCAATTTAATCCTTGCCCTCCAATAAATCTCCAGGTCCTGATGGTTTCCCTTGTGACTTTTATAATGTGTTTTGGACAGAAATCTCCCATATTTGAATGCCCACCCTTCAAAATTTATTAGATCTGTTTAATTCCCAAAAAAGATAAAGATCCCCAAGTGTGTTCCTCCTGTAGGCCAATAAGTCTTCTGAACACAGATTACAAAATACTGGCCAAAGTACTAGCTTGCAGGCTGTTATCAAACTGTTATCATTATCATTAAACCAGACCAGACATAAAATCACGCTTTGGCACAGATATACGTTGGCTTTTAATTCTAATTCTAATTCTAGATCTAACTGACTTTTGGCAGATATGGACATCTATTTGGCACTATGTTAATAACCTCTCCTGATGTTAAATAACATGTTAAATAACAAATGTATAATAAATATACTGTAAGTATAGATAGTGTTGGGTGTTGCACATGTTTTTATCGGACAGTGAGGGAAATGTCTCAGCTGCTTCTCAGATTGGCTTGGGTTGGATTAAAACTTCATGCTCCATTGAGTATGTAAAATTCTGTACGTAGTAATCATCAAAATATCACTTCTCCGGTCCCTCAAAATGTTCAGATTTTTTTTAAATACTTTTGTAAACACTTATTTTAAGTGGTGTTTAGTAAACTAGTTGACTACAGCACATTTAAAACAGTAGTTTTTTAAAAATAGTTTAGTATAGATTTTGCATTGGGTTTAGAGTTGCTTTAAACATTAGATGCCAATGCATGTAATGAGAACATACTCTCTAGTCCAGCTCTCTAATTTTAAGCTTGTGATGTTTTTATTAATTTTTTAATGTATTGACTGTTATTTGTTGCATTTTAACAGACGGAGCATTCACGGAAAAGCCAAGACAATCGACAGACTCCACTAAAGAATTCAGATTTATAGTGCTTGGACATAATGAACATCTTATGTCTCAAGCATGCAGCATCATCCTTAGGTTAGGACAGGGTGGAGATACTAATGTTGGAACATGTGAGCTTAGGGATGGCATTGTTAATGGACAACCGGTATCTGTGGTAAAAACTCCATCCAGCTGGCTAAAATCATTCTCCATTTTCTCCTTCCGCCGTAAACTAAATTCTATAAAAAGTGAAATTGAGTTCTGTCAATCACTGGTTTTTCCTGGGCCTCATGCCTTTCTGCTAGTGATTAAAGATGTCAAAACTGGTAAAGAGAAAATACTTTTGCAAGCTCTCAGTGAAGTATTTGGGATTAAGGCTTTAGACTTTTGTATGGTTCTGTTGATGCAGGAATTTCAGCGTAAGGATATACAAAATAATGATTGTGTTAGGAAGTGTAAATACAGGAACCTCTTTTTAAGGAACACTGATCAAGGTGTTGAAAAGCTGTTCCAAAAAACAAAAGAAATGATAGAACCTGTAAAATTTTTCACATATCATTTAGACTGTTTTGAAAAAGCAAAACTTTATTTTGATAAGGAATTTGAAACTGAGAGAAGAGAATTGTTAAAAATGAAAAAGAATGAAACTGAAGAAATTGAAAAACGGAATGAGATGCTTCAAAGAGAAAATAATCAACTCAAAGTACAGTTAGACAGTGCCCTAATGCAGATACAAGAGCAACTGCAAGCCATTAAAGAACAACTGAGTGAGAGAGTGAGAGATTTGAATACAAGAGAGAAGTTACTGGAGACCAGAGAGAGAGATCTATCAGCTCAGAGATACATCCAGTCCAGTGGAGACATCCAATATGGGCATCACAGCAGCACTGCAGTTACTTCCCCTGGTGGTAAGTGCTTTCACTCACCCTGCATCCCAATGTTCATACTATCCATCCTAAATAGTATGTGAGATTATGTTGAAAAGAGTATGCCAGAAGTCCCCGGATGGTCTACTATTTCAGGTTGATTTTTGAAGTGTGGATCCATGCACACTCTAATGACTAATATTGTCCACAATCCATTGGGCTTTGATGAATGATTTGGTTGAGAAATACAAACAAATTTTTTTTTAAACTACAAACATGGTGGATGTGCGCAACCAACGGTTAAGTAGAGAGGTTTAGATAAAATGGTTTGACTTACTAATAATCAACATTTAACCTGTTAAAAAATGTATTTAATGTTATTCGTGTTATATTTCATCGGCAACAGCAATGTGAACTTTTATAAACATTTGTTTGGCCATTAACTTTTAAATGCATCATTATGCAACAAATATGACAGATCAACGTGCTACTTCATTTCTCTCAAATACTGTAGGAAGTTAAATTACAAGACAAGATGATTGGCAGGCCAGTTTACAGTGCCAGGGTGCGTGTAACTATGCGGTCCGTTAAAGACGCAGTTGTGTGACGTGATAGTATGTCCCAAAGCTTGCCTACTCTTCTACTACACAGTCAAAAGTGTGTACTTTTTCTTCACCAAAAAAGTACATACTTTAAGGGCGTAGTATAAGTACGCACATTGGGACGCAGCAACAGTCTATAGTAATCACCATGGGGCTTCTGAGCACTAGGTTACTCAATGAGGACTGTCTAGAGCAGGGGAGTCCATTGCTGCCCCTGAAGGACCACTACCCTGAAGAGTTTAGCTCTAACCCCAATTAAACCCATCTGAACCAGCTAATCAAGGTTTTCAGGATCACTAGAAACTCCAGCCAAGTGAGTTGGAGCAATTTGAAGCTAAACTCCACAGGACATTGGCAACCGAGCAGGATTGATGAGCAGCATTTATTAATTTAGCAGACCCTCTTATACCTAATATCTGCTTGTTAAAGGGATAGTTCACCCAAAAATGAAAATTCTGTCATCATTTACTCACCCTCAAGTAGTTCCAAACCCGTATACATTTCTTTGTTCCGCCGAACAGAAAGGGAGATATTTTGAAGAAAGTTTGTAACCAGGCTGTTTTGGGGCACCATTGACTTCCATAGTAGGAGAAAAAAATACTATGGAAGTCAATGGTGCCCCAGAACTGCTCTGTTTCCCACATTCTTCAGAATATCTTCCTTTGTGTTCCGCAGAACAAAGACATTCATACAGGTTTGAACCTACTTGAGGGTGAGTAAATTATGACAGAATTTTCATTTTTGGGTGAACTATCCCTTTAAGTCTGACAACACGTTTCTGGATCCAAGTACTCTATCAGATACCAACAGCAAACAACAAACGCTGTCAGTATACAATAATGGTGTGCTGTAATACTAGCGAAAAATCATAATCCTAACCTTTATCGCCATAGCAAAATGGAGAAGATATGTTCAGGCAGTGTTTCTTCTTTTATTAATCATTTAAATATTGGTGTCTGGGACACTGTACGACCAGAGACTGTAGTGTACAGCATACGTTTTTAAAAGCAAAAGCTTAAATGTGAGACATGAATAAACAGTGCTTTTGAGATACCATTCTCAATTGAGACGAGTAAAGTCTTGGACACGGAAACAGTATTCCTTATGTCACGATTAATAAGCGAATTAATGTCCATCTCAGATGATCCAGTTCATGTTATTCACATAAATCTCTGATATGTCTCCTGTGACTACATTTTTGTTGACACTGGTTTTGTGACTGCATACATCACTTATAATCAGTGTATTGCTGCATGTATTGCCGTTTACACCTGTATTTAGAGCAGAACACTTGCAATCGGATCATGAAAGATAGATATTATCACCATGTCTAAACATTAAGAAAAACCGTGTTCATGCAGTTTCAGGCCTGCCCTGCAACATGTTCTTATATCAATGCTAATCTTTTGCTAATACCAATGCAAAAACCTGCTGTGACATGCCTCTTTTTTGTATTCATAGCATTTGTATACAAATATGAAAGAGAGGAAGAGACAGAGGACGATTCAGGAGCCAGTGGATCACAACTGATCGCAACCAAAAGGCGGAACAGCAACGAAATGGGCAAACCCAATAGTAAGAAATATCAATACAGTTTGTTTCATGTGCTGATAACTTTGATGTAACTTGATTATCTGATGTAATGGTTTTAAAGTAAATGTGCTTCAAAAGTCCCTGTGAGCAGCTACCATGGGTAGTTCAGTCCAAGCAGACTGTTTAAATGTGGTGTGTGTAATTTTGCTGTTTCACAGTTTAATTTGCAACTATACGCATTTGTCGGTTGGTCAGTGGCCCAAACAGTGACTTTATAAAAACATTAATCTGTTTGTTTGATCACCTTCACCAGCCGGACACTGCAACACTAATTCAGACAATTGTGTTTTTGTTGACACTATGATGCACATTTAAATATAGAAATTCTCAAAACACTCTCCTAAATACACTGTTTCCACTATTTTTACTATGAGGCATTTGAATCTCAATTCTTTCATCTTAATCAGACTGACCTTAATAATACACTTCTAATAGCAATTTTGTGTACCCTCAACTCTAGTGTCTACAAGTGAACACACACCTCTACAGTCTCTCTGAATTCTGAAGGTGAGTGAATTTTTAGTTCAGTTCATCAATATTCAACAAATTAATGAGTGATCCAAGACTTATTAATGCAAAATCCTGCATGCTGTGATGGTCAGAACATTTTAAAGGACAAACAATTAACACTCCTTAACAATATATGTAAACAATGCTTTTAAAGTTATGAAAATTTTTAAAAATATTTACAGTTTATAATATTTATGTTTTTAAAGTAGTATGTTACGTAGACAATTACCAGTTGCCAAATAAAATGGTTTAAAAAATAAACTTGAATTTGTTCTCTTAATACATATTCTTGGTGTTATTTTGAATTATACATGTTATCATTGCTTCATGTTGTCTTTAAAGGGATAGTCCACCCAAAAATGATCATTCTTTCATCAATTACTCATCTTCATGTTGTTCCAAACCTGTATTACTTTCTTTAAAGTCAAGAGCAGCGTAAAGGTTGATTGACTTGCAGAGAAAAATATTCCTATTTAAAAAAAATAGGAACAACAAACACATCCACAGTTTATTGTTTGTAGTAGTGATCTCAAACTAATTATTAAGCCAAAAATATAAACTTATTATGTGATTTTATATAAGCTGATGAAGTGATTTTTTTTTTTCAGGCTGCATCTTCAGAAATCTAGCGACTGAACATGTATCAGAACAGGAGAATGTGCTGAGGTTGTCTTCAGAATAGCATACTGTACTACCACACTACTCCTAATAGTATATATGTATACTTTACACAGTATGTGAATTTTCTGTATGTAGGGATTACTTGGACGAGCTACAAATGCACTTCATCATTAAAAATTATGTTCATCAATGTTCATCTCCTTCCATCATGCTGACAGATTGCTATATACTGAAAGACTCAGTTCTGACGTGTGTGATTTGATTCGATGCTAGCTACTAAACCACAAGTATTCTGTTCCTAATGTTGTTCAGTGCTGATATTTGTTATAGAACTTTTTTCTGTACTTATAGACTCATGCACTGTTTGTGTTTTTGTCTATATGAAATGTCAAGAATGTTCTCTATTTCTTTTTTCTGTTTCTGTAAAGGATTTTTCTGTTAAATAGTATGCGAACATTGTTCTGTACATTAAAGCATTTTATTTTTAAAATGGGTCTTTACAGGCAAAATCAGCAGTCATGACTACCTGTGTGTTAAATAGTGTAAGTGAACTGCATGTATGATAATACCAGTTCAGTTTGTGGAAATTAAGGAGCAATGTTGATGAGGCAAATGATATATGTTAACTATTAGTTAAAATATTTGAATGAACTTGAGCTAAGCTGATAATTTACTCAGTTTGATCCTAGGATTGTAAAAAAATGTTTTATTGCAACTCTGTAAAGTTTATTATTTAAAAAACGCAAATGGAATATGGAATAAACAATGGAATAAAAATGCAAAATGGAATAAACATTGATTTGTCTATTTTTTTTTTCATTGATTCTAATGTGTGTGTGTGTGTCTGTCTGTGTAAAGTTTTTCTATTCCAGTGGGGACTTAAACCTGAATACATGAAAACCATTATGCATATGGAGAGTCCCCACAAGGATAGTAAACCAGACGTGTGTGTATATAGAATGTTGATAATTTCTAAAACCAGTATTTTATAATAAATGTTGCATTACAGAAGTCCTGGAGACCCACTGTCCTGCAAAGTTTAGGCCCAACCCTAATAAAACACACCTGAACAAGCTATCAGGATGACTTGAAAATTGCAGGCAGGTGTGTTGGAGCAGGCTGGAACTAGCAGGATAGTGAGTGGCCAGGACCAGGGTTGAAGACAGTCACTAAATAAATTAATTATTGAAATGAAATTGGTAGGGCAACTGTTCTACCTTTTTTGAGGTCTAGATGAATCATAAAAAATTGAGTGAAGGGATATGACAACAGTCAAACAGAATACAGGTAATAAAGTTTGAGAATTATGGTGCTTGGACGTAATGAAACTTTTATGATTCTGGGACCGTATTCACAAAATATTTTATCTTACTAAGAGTTCTCCTAAATAGCAGTAAAGTTTAGGTAAAACTTTAGAGACCAGTTTTCACTAAGGAATGGGGAGAAATCTTAAGCTAAGAGAAAGGGTGGTGTTAACCACATTGCTATGGATGACGTCAACAAGCTTATTAATTATGCCCACTGTGATTGGCTGATGGGTCTTTGTCAGTCATTTAATCATAGAAATATTGTAGAACAAGTTATCATATGAAGCCTATGAAGCATTCCTAACTTTGACTTCAGAAGATGCTGACGTTTGTTTCAAGTTGGATTACATTAATTGATCATTTTTAAATAACTGTTTTTGTTGTTCCCAGCACAGTTAAGCAGGTAAGTATTATTCATTTCTTTGTGAAGTTGAATATGTTGTGCTTGGTTGGGTATCGAGAACACAACTTGTTTTTTTCCATTTTAGAACACCACCACTCGCGCCCTGTTTTCTGAGCTGTGCACACATCCGACGCATGCACACAAAATGTCGCCTCTCATATAGTTCAGAAAAATACACTCAAAATTATACCAAAATACTTTGTCTTAAGTGAACATAAATAGTTGTGAAAGATAACGTGTTTGTAATAGATGCATTCAGTCTTAAAGTGACAGCAGCCTAATAACCCTGCTGCTGTCTGTCACTCATGTTGGTCAAAGGAACTAAAAAAAAATCACATACTGTTCTTGACTAAACTTTAATGAGGATTAATCTATATTTTATTCATGAAAATAACTAATTATGCAGTGTTATTTTACATTTGATTTCAACTTTGTTCAATTTATAATTTGTTTATTTGTTCTTATTACTGACTGTTTAATTGTCTTTAATGATGTTTAAACATCACAAAAGACAAAAGTTCCTTGCGTAGACAGGCTTCTGATTTTTGTTCACGGTACACAGTGTTCACGGTATTTTTAACTTTAATGGAATCTAAAAGTTAAGAAATTCAAAACAATACCCAACCCTACTGCTTCCATTTTTATTTTACAGAATATAAAATATCCAAATGCCTTGGTGTCCTTTGTTGTTATTTGTAATATGATATGACTATTTATGTAACAACAAGGGAAACAAGGGTTTGATTCTCAAAGTTTCACAGTCATGCTTTCTTCAAATGCATTTTACAGCTACCCTTATGAGTGTTGTTAGTAATTTGGCTGTACATTTACAGATTTATCCAAACAAACAAACAAAAAACATCCAGAAGGAAATGGGGGGAGGAAGTGTAAGTCATTTAAAAAGATTAAAAAAAAACATTTGACACAGCTAATGCAGTTTATAAGCTTCATAAGTTGCATAATTCACATTCATGCAGTTGTTGTTTGAATTATTTTCAGTCTATTCATTTCATTCAGAGGGTCATGAAATAATATAATTTCATAAGATACACTAGCAATTTCAACCAAATAATAGACAAATATTTCCATATAAAACACTTTAATATCAGTTCTTTGTCTTACAAATGAACAAATGTAAAGGACAAAACAATTCTCAAACATTTTTTAATAAATAGCATCTACAGCACAACACTGTAGATGTAGTGTAGTGTAATTAATTCTTTGTATAACAAAGGTTCAACACTTAATATTTGTGAAAACACAATCCTCTGCCTCATTCTCTGCGTAAAAATAAATCTAATAAATGTATAAAAATAACCAAATAATAATTACATTACATTAATAATTACACTAAATTACATTAAAATTTCTCAAAATAAAAAAGAAACCATAAGCAAAAAATAATTTTACCTGATAAAATGGCACTGCAGTTGCCCAGTGTTAAAAGGTTTCAACACATGAAGTCTCTCTTAGATGGAATGCATAGTTTGCCCCAGTGTCCATGAACACTTGAGGTTTTCGGGGGATCTTAAATGAAGATTACGGTAGACCCATCAAACTGAAAAGGCATTTGGTGCTTCTCTAAGATATGTGCAGAAGGATTTTTCTACTATTACAAGGGCCACATCCCTGCAGATAGATGGAATAGGATCACTCACATCATCCACTACTGTAAGGCTTCCAACAGTCATGCTCTTGATACGCTCTGTTTCAGAGTATGTGTGCTTTATTAAAAACAAAGACAAGATTTAAAATTTGTTTCTACACACAGACTCAGAGCAAACATTACTTACATTTGAATTTTATGCCATTTTTGATAAAACATCTCATGTCAAATGCATGTCAAATTTATCACGCAGTTCAAACAGTGTTGTTCTGATGCTGTTTAAAGTTGTGTGTGACAGGTAGCGGTTGCTGCTTCCTTCAAATGGCAAATAAAAAAAATATATAAAACAAAAAAAAACCCACAAAGGGTTATCTTTTTGTTTCCAAATTCTTCTGTATTTTCAAGAAATATAAACAAAGCTTTGAGTCCATTTCTTTCCATCTCTTGTTCTCTAAGAATATCTTCTTATTTTCTTCTTCCATTTCCTGCCATTGCTGCCTGTATTCATGGTATTTATTGCATTTAAACAAGACATGTTCTACATCTTCCTTGGTTTGACATCTTGTACATAATCCATTACTCTTCCCTATTGTCTGCAATGTATCATTCAATCCAGTATGACCTAATCTCAGCCTTGAGTATACTACTACTTCTCGCCATATTTATCCTTTTTCCTCCTACTTTTGCTTGGTTTATATGATGATGTTTAGCTTTAGACTCAGACTCCCATTCTTTTTGCCATATTTGCATTATTTCATATTTAATCTTGGCTTTCATCTCTCCTTTTCCCATTGAAATATTAATTTCTACTTGCTCTTCTCCCAATGCTTCTTTTGCTATCTTATCGGCTTTTTCATTACCTTTGATGCCATTATGTGCTGCACTGAACTTCAATTCCTAGATTTCTAATATTTAATAGTATATGTCTAGTTACTCAAACTGAAATACTGCTTTCTAAACTTTGTAAGGCTGCCATTGATTCTGTACATATGACTGATTTAATTGGTTTATTTTCTTCTATCCATCTTAAGGCTGCAATTATCCCACACATCTCAACTGTAAAAACAGAAAAATGGTTATTTAATATTTAATTTAAATATAAATCCCTATGCCACAATGACCATTTTTGTTCATCTCTCCTTTTCCCATTGAAATATTAATTTCTACTTGCTCTTCTCCCAATGCTTCTTTTGCTATCTTATCGGCTTTTTCGTTACCTTTGTTATGTGTGCTGGAACCCAACAAAACTGAACTTCTATTCCTAGATTTCTAATATTTAATAGTATATGTCTAGTTACTCAAACTGAAATACTGCTTTCTAAACTTTGTAAGGCTGCCATTGAGTCTGTACATATGACTGATTTAATTGGTTTATTTTCTTCTATATCCATCTTAAGGCTGTAATTATCCCAGACATATCAACTGTAAAAACAGAAAGATGGTTATTTAATCTATAACCCAATTTTTTTGTTAAATTCTGGAATATAAATTCCTATGCCACAATGACCATTTTTGTTTTTTGACCCATCTGTAAATATTTTAAGATATCCATAATATAATGAAGACAAATATATTTGGCAATATTTTGCAAAACTTTGACCATCTTGGTATTCTCTTTTCTCTTTTAGTAATTCTCTGTAAAAACAGAAAAATGGTTATTTAATATTTAATTTAAATATAAATCCCTATGCCACAATGACCATTTTTGTTTTTTGACCCATCTGTAAATATTTTAAGATATCCATAATATAATGAAGACAAATATATTTGGCAATATTTTGCAAAACTTTGACCATCTTGGTATTCTCTTTTCTCTTTTAGTAATTCTGTATCGATGTCTGAAATAGGGAGCATCCAGGTAGGAACTTCACTAGCTACTGCAGGGCTAAACACAAATTCTTTAATTCCAAATTGTTCTGCTGTATTATTTATATTCCAACAAAACCTTTGGATTTTTTATT